AGAGCAGTCAGTGGTGGTAGCCGGGCACCATCTAGCTGTACTGGACTCAGTCTGGTGGAGGCCGTGGTAGCTGTGTTCCATTAGTCCTTTGGACTAATCTTTTCCTTGTGTCCTGTTCTCTTCATCCTCCCTTGCTCCCAAAGGGGTAAGACCAGTGTAGGATCATAGATGGCTGCTCACGTGCTTTTAAGACCCCAGACGCTACTCATCAAGGTAGAATGTAGAACATTGTCTTTATAAACTGTGTTATGCCAGTTGAGCTAGATATTCCCCGAGACCATGGTCCCCACAGCCCTCCGGCCAGCAATTCAGTCCCTCAGGGAGTTTGGATGTGTCTACGGAGCTTCCATGACCTTTCCTTGTACAAGTTGTGCTGGTTTCCCCAGTATTGTGAAATGCTTGAGTTTTAAGCTACTAAGTTTTGGGGTGATTTGTTGTGCAGCTATAGATAACCCACACAGACCCACAGAATGACTATAATAAAAACACAGCTAATACAAACTGTTGGCGACAGTGTGAAGAGACAGGAAGCCTCATACGTTGCTTGTGAGAGTGTAAAACAGTGCCTCCACTTTGGAAAACAGTTTGGCAGTTTCTTAAAAAGATAAGCTTATTGTTTAATCTTACTCCTAGGAATCTACCCAAGAGAGATGAAAATATATGTTCACACAAAAACTTGTACATGAATGTTCATAGCAGCATTATTCATAATAGCCCCAAACTGGAAACACCCCAAATGTCCATCACCTGATGAATGGATAAAGAAATGTGGTCTCGCCATGTCATTGTTGTGTGCCGTCGAGTCGGTTCCGACTCCTAGTGACCCCGTGTTACAGAGTAGAACTGGGTTTTCGAGGCTGTAATCTTTATGGGAACCCCATGGGGCAGTTCTACTCTGTCCTATAGGGCCGTTATGACTTGGAATTGACTCCACGGCAATGGGTTTGGTTCAGTTTTTGGAATCTTCAAGGGAGCAGATCACCAGGTCTTTCTCCCAAGGAGCCACTAGGGGGGTTAGAACCACTGACCTTTAGGTTAGCAGCTGAGTGCTTAACTGTTGCACCATCAGGGCTCCTGGTCTAGTCACACAGTGGAATAATATTCAGCAATAAAAAAGAACAAGCTTCTGATACATGTTACAACACAGATGCACCTCGAAAACATCAGGCTAAATGAAAGAAGCCAGATGCCAAAGACTACATATCATATGATGTCATTGATATTAAACGTCCAGAAAAGGCAAATCTATAGAGACAGAA